GAGCGTTGCTGGGAGACGCGCGCCACGCGACGGGGCGCGTTGCTGGGAGACGCGCGCGCGCTCGGGGCGGGCGGGAAAGGGAGGAGATTTTCGTTTTCTGAGTTTCAGACGTACTATGAAAATAAGCTATATAAAAAGCGCTATTCTCTGCTTGCCGCCTTGTGGGCTAATTGGATACTGCAGCTGCTTGACACTGGCAGTGACAAGCTTCAAAATCCTCCGAGGCACTCAGGATTGTAGTCAGCAATATGATAAAGCGTTTTCTCAGATACTAATAAATGCAAAGGCGGAATGTTGGAAATTTTACCTTTCTCAATATTTTTAAAAGAACTGGAGTGTGAATCCTGTCTTTAAAGTTGAAATTTAGCCTCCGTTCCCACCTACTGCTTCATGGTCACTTGGATCACCTATCCAATGCGCACCTTCCATATGTATTTTAAAAGTTTTATTTTGGAAAAAAAAGCACATTTCTAGAAGACATTTTTCTAACAGCAATGTAAATAGTTTTCAAATAAACTGTTTTTCCTAAGCATAAATGCCTCCTTTTCTAAGCTTTGCCTCCATAGAATCATAGAATCACAGAACGGTTGAGGTTGGCAGGGACCTCTAGAGATCATCTAGTCCAAACCTCCTGCACACACAAGGTCACCTAGAGCACGTGGCACAGGGCTGCGTCCAGGCGGACCTTGAAGATCTCCACCATGCCTGTTGTTTTCCAATGGAGGCTTGGTTACTGACTGATCAAGTATCAGTTAAACACTAGTATTAAACTGTTTCTTTTTCTTGTATGTATTTACAGGAAGGGATTATCAATTAACATGAGTTATGAGCTTCAGTGCAGCAAGCAGTTAGATTGAATTTTCTTCTAGCCAGTCAGGATTGTTTCCTTTGTAGTCCTTAAAAGGTTTTCCCGTATTTAAACAGTCTGTGTTGCTAAAATTGAGTCTTGCCTAAAAGGAAGCAGTGCTCAAAGGCTGGTGGTTAGAGGGCAATGAGTATTTGTTCTGAAAAAAGGATATAACTTGATTCTTAAGAAAAAGAAAAAAAAAAAAAAAGAGAGGGGGATTTCCCAGGGTTAGAAGATTTTAAAGGGTAGAGAGAAAAGGGCGGGAGAGTAAATAACACATTTGCATATTACTACGGACTAGGATATCAAGAACAAGACTCTTGCACAAGGATTTGATCTTGACTTTGGAAACACCATGCAAGAGTTCTTAAATCCTCTCAGCTATGTTTGCTACCAGGACCTTTTGGAAGGTGAACGGAAGTGTAACACTGCCACTCTGCTGCCTGTAAATCACAGTAACCTTTATTTGTCTTTGCAGTGTAATAAACTTGCCTTTTTTTTTTAAATCTGAATTCTTGGCTATTCCTACTTCTTGTTTGTTAGTTAATTTACTTGTTTGTTTGTTTTCTTTCCCATAACTCGTCACGGACTGTGGGCTCCCCCGGAAGAGCCATGGCTCATCCATGGGGTGTCACCCCTATGGCTCTGGGCACGGTGGGACACAGGCTGCTCGCAGGCAGTGCGGTGATCCGCCGCCACTGGTTTGCACAAGCCACGTCAGGGGCTGGTAACTCTTGACTTTCAGCATGACCCTGGTTCGTCCTTGCGAGAACAGCAGTAGGCAGAACAATCTGAACGTGCGGCAAAGAGGCAGTACCCAAACTTTCAGGGTCTCCGGTTTGTGTGCGACAGTGGTACGTGCAACTCACAAACACAGCAGTGAATCTGCCTGAAAGTGGCGTGTCGGTAGAAACCATAGATTGAGCATTAACAGTCAAGATCTGTGAATTTCCAAAGGACATAAGTGCCTCTATTGTTAAACAGAGCAAAAATCCTTTGTTGAAGTGTGGTATTAAGTACTCGTTCGACAAGGTGGTTGATTACAAAAAACTCTAGATATTTAGTTAGGAGTCAAATTTTTACCTGATCCTGGTTTCAGTGGGGTTTAAATCATGCTTGTTTCATAGGTTGCTATATAAAAATAGGTGACAGAGTACTTCATATATGATATGGGCTTACTGGTTTTCAGTTCCACAAGGAACTTAAAATTTCTTTTTTTCCTTTTTAGCTGTGAAAGAGCAAGCAAGCATGAGCAACTTATTCACAGGTATTAGCATGTATTAGCATTAGATATAAGAATTATATCTAATGAATTATATATTATATAATTA